CAGATGTCCCTCCTTTGTTGGTATCATTTTCAACCTCACTAGGGAATATTCAACTGCTGAAAAATACCTCTTTAAAGTGCTGAAGAGCTAAGATGTCCCTTTGACAACTGAGATGTGCCTAACCCAAGCCATGATATTTTCAATCACCTCATATGCATGTGAAGGCTGGAGAATGAATAAGGAAGACAGAAGGAGAGTTGATGATTTTGAGTTGTGGTGTTGGCAAAGGATACTGAAAGTACTGTGGACTGCCAGAAGAATGAACAAATCAGTCCTGGAGGAAGTGAAGCCAGAATGCTCCTTGGAAGCAAGAATGACAAGATTTTGTCTCACCTACTTTGGTTGTGTTGTCAGAAGGGGCCATTCCTTGGGAAAGGGTATCATGCTTGGAAAAGTGGAGGGTCAGTGAAAAAGGAGAAGACCCTCAGTGAGATGCATTGACACAGTGGCTACAATGATGAGCTAAAGTATAGCAAGGATTGTGAAGCTGGCACAAAAATGGGCAGTGGTTCATTCTGTTGTACATAGGGTTGCTATAAGTCAGAGCCAATTCAATGATACCTAACAACAACAAGGGAATACTAAGCTAGAGCTAGACACTGGACTAAGAACTGGGAATACAGAGGTGAATAACCTATGGATTCAAATAGCTCATACTATGAAGGTCAGGTGTACATAGTCGGGTTGGTCCTGTATTTAGGATAGTAGAGAAACAAGGAATAGGGCAAGTACCCTGACCTAGAAGTGTAGGAGGCTTCCTGGAGGAGCTTCCCTGTATCTGGGTATGAAAGAATGATTAAAGTTGGCTTAAGGAGGAAGGAAAGGAGCTCTGGTAGTATAGAGGAGCTCTGGTAGCATAGTGCCTAAGGCACTTGACTGCTAACCAGAAGGCTGGCGGTTCAAACGCACCAGCCACTCCTCAGAACGAAGGTTGGGCAATCCTACTTCCGTAGTGATACTGCCTCAGAAACCCAAGGAGGGGTCGCTATGAGTCAGGGCTGACTCGATGGCAAATAACAACAACAACAACAAGGAGGAAGGAAAGAGTTGTATGGAAAGCAGAGGGAGTAGGGAAAGCAAGTGTCCAGGAGCTGAAGGTCATGTATTCAGGAATCAAGCACGTTGGGTTATTTGGGGAGTGTGCCTTTAATAAGCAAGGTAGGAACTACAGACTTGCAAGTAAGCACAAGTAAACCTGTGCTTACCTTACATACTGTATACTATGTCCCTGTCAGGGATTATAAATTTGAAAAAAGGCTTTGATTCTATAGAAAGGTGCTTAGGGTTGAGAGAGGGACTGATGCCAGCCATACCTAGAAAGGGAAGTTTGATATGGTGAAAAAGTGTGAAATTGCTCACTACAGATCAGTAAATAAGTACAAGTAAGCCCATGCTTACCTTGCTTACTGGGTAATCCAACACTGCCTGAGGTGCAGGGTTCCAGGATCACCGGGGTCTCAGGACTGATGCTGCTCAGTCTTGCCCAGATCAGAGGACAAGAGTGTTTACAAAGGTCAGGGTGTTTATTTTTCTGTTTATTTATTTATTTATTTTGAGTTCAGTTGTGGTCTGTAGAGACATGTTAATTAAAGTCTGGGGATTTCACCAAGCCAGGACTGAGGCTCAATGTCTCTGACTTTTGCACCATCCTGTATTTAGTCCCTATTCTATTTTGGAATCATGAACCACAGAATAGTCAATGTGGAGATATGTTCACTCTTAGAAGCCCCTGGCTGACATTCTGGGTGGTCTTTCCACATAAGCCACATGCTCACTGCTCAGAGGGTAACAGCAACATGCAGAGAAAAATGATGAGCTTCTCCGCCATTCCAAGATGCATCCCTGGAAATATTTGCACATGGAGCTAGGAGCTCAGCTCACTGGAGCAATAATGGTCTGGAACATGTACTCCTATCTTATGCCGGGTAGACTTGCTCCTGGTTAAGGGTAAATTGATGAATTAATCACAACTGTAGTTATTCCAGGCACAGTGAGCCACAACTGAGGGTTTTAGAAACAAGAATCCAGATGTTGCAAACTTCTTTGTCTTACTCTGAGCATATTATTTTATTGGAAAAGTGTTCTGGGCTGATGTGCTTAGTAAAAGATCCCAAACGCATGAACAATGTGACCATGTTCTGACTTGTCCAGCCTTTGAGACCTTTCCTAAGGCCATGCACTGTCTGGGCACACAAGACTGTGAAGCTGTGCCCTGGAAAGGGGTGATTTTTGTCCCATTCAAATGCAGCCTTTGGATGGAGTTCTGGATTAAGGCCAAACCCTTAGCTCTGATGATTAGATGCCAGGGAACAAACTTCAAGAGATAAGAGAATGGCTGTTTAGGAATGAGAGATGGAACACAGCTGCCAAGAAAGTGATGTCATGGTTTTGGCTTTTTTTTTTTTTGGTCTCAAATGCCTAGAGGGAAAATGAAGAAAAAAAAAAAAAAAATCAAAAGACTCTGTTTCTTAGGCTCTTAGTATAGACTCTTTGAAATATAGGAGAATCACAATCTTCTCTTGAGTTGTGGCTGTGGATGAAGACTGGAGAAAGATTTCATAAATGGGGCCAGTATCATGATTTGTGACGAACCCTTTTGAATGTCCTAAACACACTGAAACAAAATTGATGTACTAACTTTGTGTTAATAATGAATATTGGTAGTACTGATGATTAATAATGATTTAAATTTACCTAGCGCTTACTAGTTGTCAGGCACTATGTTAGTGCTTTGTGAGTATTTCCTCATTTAGCCCTTGAAATAAACCAACTAGCTGGGCATTTTTGGTAGTAGTAAAGTGTTTGCACTCCTGGGCCTGACTGCATGGGTTCAAATCCTGTCCCTGGGGATAGAAGTTTTGTGTCATTAGGAAGTGACTTAAACTAGCTAAATTTTATGGTCTCACATGGGGTATTTTGTGAATAATGAATAAGTACTTAAATATTAAACATTCCAAGCCAAATCTGGCACATGATAGGAGTTGTTTTGTTAGCGTTAATTACTTTTTTTCCCTTCAGATTTAAATGTAACAGCCTTTTTGAGATATATTTCCATATAGCATACTCCCAAAAGCCCAGTTTCTTCACTTAGGTGTGTTTAGATAGTGAATAAAACTCTGAACAATGACACAGCCATCTTCCACTCATTCCTTATGCACCAGCCCCGTAGGCCCTTGGTCAAGGGTGTTGTCCTTGTTCCTGCCTCAATCTGGTTTACACTCCTCAAGATAGCAGCATAACTAGTATTTTGTCCTCTTTTGGGTCCTTGCTTAGGTGCTTCCTAAATCAAAACCAGGTTTATTTCTTGATCAGAGAACTGCAGGTATAGGTATGTTCTTCATAGTGCTTACCTCAACTGTGATAATTTACTTGTTGGCTTACCTGCTTATTATCTGTTACCTCCTAGATGTAATCGCCCTGAAGGTGATGAACAGAATTCTCTTCCTCATTATAGTGTCCTCAGATGTTGACAATGCTTAGCAAACAGAAGGCACTCAGTAAATATTCACCTGGGTAGACCTGGCAAAGATTTTAGTGTGAAGGAACAGGAAGTGCTCAAGATCCTCAGTCCACTCTTTTGAGCTGTAAATCAAGGAGAACAATATAATAATTTCAACACCCCCATATCCTTGATGTATCTTTTCTAGGCAGTCTTAGGAATATGTAGTCCTTTGTTGGTGATTTTCAAGTGACATAACTGGTCAGAGTTATCTAAGACCAGGGTGTGGTCAGAGCTCAAAAGAACCCCAGGAAGACAGACATGGAAGACCACTGGTCCAGGAGAAATGAAAATATTGAAAGGTGGGTGCAGAATAAGCTCCATGTACAAAAAGAGGAATCAGGTATAATTAAAATTTGAATAGCATAATAATTTTAGTACAAATAATTAATATTTTTTTTGAAACAATCTAAAAATTTGCATTTTTGCTGTGCCTTGTAGGTTCCTGTAAGTTAAGGAAAAACTACACCCTGATATTTGTTTATTGGAACTATTTTTCTAAACCATACTTTTTGGGAGCTCTGGTAGCATGGTGCCTAAGGCACTTGACTGCTAACCAGAAGGCTGGTGGTTCAAACCCACCAGCCACTCCTCAGAACGAAGGTTGGGCAATCTACTTCTGTAGTGATACTGCCTTGGAAACCCAAGGAGGGTCACTATGAGTCAGGTCTGAGGTGATGGCACATAACGGTATATATATATATATATATTTCTTTTCTTTTTGCAAACTACACAACACCCTCGTACATCAAGTTCCTATGTGTTTTAGATATGTGGGCATGTTATGTGTGAAAATATTGTAGTTCATTAGACCCAATACACTTATTAATAAAATCTGATTTTGCTACTATTTTTGTAACCTGGCTACTACTACATATACCTGCCTAAACTAGGATGATTAAACTAGAGGACTAGAGTTGTTGCCATGTTCAGAGGTTGTGATGTTTGCAGAATATTAGTAAACATCTAGCTACGTAGGTATCTACACACAACAGTATCTTTCATTTAAAATGATAAATGGGGTCCATATCAATGATGGAATTATCCCAAACACCCTAATTACTATGTCTTCATTGTAAATATGATGCCGTAAAATGGCCTATAGTAGACACTCAATTAAGTATATAAATAAGTCAATGAACGTGGTGGTTGCCAGGAACTTGGGGAAGGGAGTAATGAGGAGCAACTGCTTAATCAGTGCAGTGTTTCCTTTTGGAGTGATGGAATTGTTTTGGAATTCAATAGAGGTGGTGGTTTCACATTATGAATGTACTAAATGCCACTGAATTGTTCACTTTCAAATGGCTAAATTTTATGTCAATTTCACTTTCATTTTAAAAAATGTTTCTTTAATTCTAGACCAGTGACTTTATTTAAACATCCATAACACCCAACTAGAGCATAAGGAAAAGTAAGAGGTGGGGTGTTTGTAAACTCCTATAAAAATTGTCTTATTTTCATACTTTCTTTCAGTTTTAGATCAAATAAATAAGATCCAGAAATGGGGAAAGGGAATGAAACTGCACCCAATAGTTTCATTCTCCTGGGCCTCTTCTCTGACTCCAAGTATCCTGGAATTCTCATCTCCATCATCCTTGTGATTTATGTTATTGCTGTTACTGGAAACTCCATCCTGATCCTCCTCATCTGGCTGGACTCCCAGCTCCACATCCCCATGTATGTCCTGCTCAGTCAACTTTCACTCATGGACTTGACCTTAACAACCTCTACCATCACTAAGATGGCCATTGACTTCTTTTCAGGGAAGAGATACATCTCACAAGTTGGCTGTGGGACCCAGATGTTCTTCTACTTGACAGTGGGAATAGCTGAGTGTGTCTTCCTGAAACTCATGGCTTATGATCGCTATGTGGCCATTTGTAACCCACTGAGATATCCGGTCCTCATGAGCCCCAGGGTCTGCCTGATGATGGTCATCATATCCTGGGGTAGGAGTGCTTTTACTTCCTTATCCCATACCAGCTACATAATGCATTTTCCCACCTGTGGCTCCAGGGAGATTCACCACTTCTTCTGTGAAGTAATGGCTTTTCTAAAGCTCTCTTGTGAGGACACATCAATTTATGAAAAAGTGGTATTGGTCACAGGCACAGTATTACTCCTCATCCCATTTGGTCTCATCTTGGCTTCCTACGCCCTCATCTTCCTTACTGTTCTTCGTATGAACTCCCTCAAAGGGAGGAACAAAGCTCTGGTCACCTGCTCCTCCCACTTGACTGTGGTGAGTCTCTACTTTGGTCCAATCATGATTATCTACATTACCCCATGTTCCTCTCTTACCCTAGAACTAAATCAACATCTCTTTGTATTTGATACAGTAATTACTCCTCTATTGAACCCTTTTATCTATAGTCTTCGAAACAAAGAGGTAATGAAGGCTTTAAAAATGGTTCTAAGCATATCACTCATGTCAAAATAATTATGGAGAATTTTTCATTAGACAAATACAATTGTCCTTGTACAAAAAGTAAATCTTATATATGATGATAAACCTAAGTTTTGCTATGATCATGCACTGAATTAGCTGCTGAACTCTCTTTATTTCTCTTGCATTTGCTTGGTCTCATGTCTCTAATTGAAAGTTAAATTGACTTCAGCTTTATATCTATGCCTCCTACCATGGATTAGACTTTGCTGTGAGTACTTTCTGATATAAGAATACACTACAACTCAAAGAAGAGAGAAAATTTTCAGGGAATATTTTGGGAGGTGGGAGGTAAGAAGCCAAACTCTTTCTTAGTTTGATGAAATCTGGAAGGGGGCTCAATCTGGGTATCTATGACCTTCAGGATACTGGTCAAGGGCGGGGTTGTGAACAAGTTCAATTTGTTTGGAAATTAATACATACTACCCCAGAATCTGTGCATTATATCTATACCTTGCTTAGTGCCTAAGGCACTTGACTGCTAACCAGAAGGCTGGAGGTTCAGATCCACCAGCCACTCCTCAGAAGGAAGGTTGAGCAATCTACTTCTGTAATGACACCACCTCGGAAACCCAAGGAGGGATCGCTATGAGTCAGGTCCGACTCGACGGCACATAACAACAACAACAACAACCCCAGAATCTGTGCATTATATCTATATCTACATTATATAATTTCACCTTAATTTATCAGTATGTAAGTATATTTTTTCATATTTTTGCTACTGATTTCCTAATAGAATGCAATGTTTTTGAAGGTAAGACCTTGGTCTTATTTGCTGTTCTTATCCTAGAAGATAGACCAATGTCTAGATTATACTAAAAGGTCAATAATATTGGTGGTTGACTGTATACTAAATACGTGTTCATTTATTTCCTTTGTTTATTTAGTGAATTAGTCCAATTACTCAGTCTAACTCTGTGTTGGTCATGACTCTTGAGGTGAAACCGTAAATACCTCTGTGTATTTGGTGGTGCAATGATTTCATTATCATCCTAATAGCCAGCCTTTAGTGACCTTGGTCAGCTACAGAACACAAGCATGTCGAACATCATCAACTCTGTGGTGGTTAAGTTTTGTGTCAACTTGGCTAGACCTGGTTGAGTGGCTGGGCAACTGGATGCAATATTCCCCATGGAGAGACTGGTAATCAACTCCATGGTACAATCTAATATTAGCAGCTGAGTAGCTGCCTTTGGGTATGTGGTCTGCTTCCTGTATATAAGAAACAGCTTTGGGAATGGTCTCTAGCTTATGGCATGCTTGGACCCTGTGTGTAGCTGTGTTGTTGCTCAGCAGCCTGCCATGTTCTGTTGACCTTGGGACTTTCAATGGACTTGAATGAATGGCCTGGCATGTGGTTTGGCAACATTGAGACTGTGCCTTTTTCCTTGTCAACCTTGGGCTTGTCAGCCTCAGCA